GACTCTGCTAATGGCGGAAAAGAAGGAGCTTGAGGCAGAGAAAAAGCAGCTCGAGGAGAGCGAGGTGGCACTGAAGAGAGAGAACGAGAACCTCGAGTTCCATGTGAAGGAGCGGACTAAAATCCTACTTCAAGCGATGGAGGAGGCCAAGGCCAAGGCGGTCGAGGAGTATAAGTCTTCGGCAGAGCTTCGATAGAGGTTGGTCAAGGCTAGGACAGCGGGCTACCGCAAGGGGTTTAAGCTCAGTAGGTGGTTGACCCGACGTGAATTTCCCCTCTCGACATCAATGCCATCACCACCTCCAAGATCACCAAGGAGATGGTCGTTGAAGCCGCCAAGGATCTGGACTCCGAGGTGGAGAGAGACGATGAGACGACAGGAGAGGGAGAGGAGGCTGATGCTGTCGAGGACCGCATGGAGACAGATCCGCCTGCTGAAGCCTCTATTGGAGATGAGGAGCCCCGAACTAACTGATACCTCTTTTCTTGGAACCCCCCTTTTGTTAATACTTGATGTCCCGAGCCTCCGAGCTTGGCTAAACGATTGTGATTTTTTTTTGCTATGTACTCGAAGGATTTTATCAATGGAATACAAGTATTTTGCAAAACTCCTTGTGTAGAAAATTTTTTTAAGTGTAGATTTCTCATGAACTCGCGAGCTAGACCATATAGGAGAAAAATTTTTTAAAGTATAGATCACTCCCAAACTTGAGGTAACTCTCGAACTCAAATAGGAACAATCGTTATTGTATGTCGGGGTGGGCAGACACTGTAGGGTATACATGCCCGACTTGTATGTACCCGAGCTACTTTGCCCTACCCAAGCCAAAGCGACTGGGTTTTAATGAAAGAAGTGGCTAGGACTTCTCTACCCATGCCAGAGAAGTGACTGGGTCCTATATCGTGCTGAGGTCTTTTGTCAGCTCAGCACTATAGCCCTTAGGCTTCTGGGAGTGACTTAAGGTCCTCTCTCTAGTTCATCGTCCATAGGATCATCTCGATGATCTAAGGACTTAGTCGTTTTTTGCTTGCGTTGAGATTTATAGGTAGTATTTCCTTAGTTTGTCATTGTTCCAAGCTCGAGGTACCCGTTTCCCTTTCATGGTCTCGAGATCATAGGTTCCTTCTCCGAATACTCGTCTCACCAGGTAAGGACCTTCCCAATTCGGACCGAGCTTACCCACATTGTGCTCGGGTACCGTTACCTTGCGAAGGACCAGGTCGCTGACTCATAATAGCCGCTTCCTGACCCGGGCATTATAGTACCAAGCCACTCTTTGCTAGTAAGCCGCTATCCAAATGTAAGCCAAGTCTCGTACCTCTTTTATCAGGTCCACGTTGCTACGGAGCTTGTCACCGTTTGCTTCCCCGTCGTAAGCCTCGAGTCGCAATGTGGGCACTTCAATCTCTATTGGGATCACTGCCTCTATACCATACGTGAAGTTGAAGGGTGTTTCACCCGTCGCGGTATTGATGGTGGTTCGGTATGCCCAAAGGACACTGGGCAACTCATCCACCCATAATCCCTTAGCTCCGGCCAGGCGAGCTTTCAGTCCACGGAGAATCGTCCTATGGGAAACTTCAGCTTCTCCGTCCGCTTGTGGGTGTGCTACAAAGGTGAAATTTTGTTGGATTCCCATCTCAGCACACCCGTTTTGGAACTTGATGTCTTCGAACTGCTTCCCGTTATCGGATATCAGCACCCGAGGTAGTCCGAAGTGGCACACTACCTTTTTCCAGAATAAGTTCTGTATGTTGTGAGCTGTAATGGTTACCAAGGGCTCGGCCTCTACCCACTTCGTGAAGTAATCAACTGCCATGACTAGCAACCTCCTCAACCCGGTTGTTGGGGGGAAAGGTCCTAGGATGTCTATCCCCCATTGAGCAAAAGGCCACGGGCTGGTGAGGTATTTTAGATCGGTAGCAGGTAGCCGGGGGATGTTGCCATGCCTTTGGTAGTTGTTACACTTCTTGACAAACTCAAGGGTGTTTGCCTTCATGGTAGGCCAGTAATATCCTTGCCTCAGTGCCTTCTAGGCAAGTGCCCTGCCCCCTAGGTGTCCTCCATAGAGTCCCTCATGGATGTCGCATAGTACTTGATCCACTTCTGAAGGCCGCAAGCAACATAGGTAGGGGAGTGTGAAGGATCTCCTATATAGCCGCCCATCGGTCAGAAGATATCGGGCTGACTGTTGCTCTACCTTCCGAGCTGCATTGCGTTTTGCTGGCAGGGTCCCGTGGAGCAGATAATCGGTGAGCGGGTCTATCCAACTCGGTTCTGCTACTGACACGGGAGAGACCTCTTCTACCCCCCCGAGAATGCTAGGGTAAGGTAGGTCTTTGATATATAATGTCCACTTTGTGTTCTCGCTGGTACTAGCTAATCGAGATAGTGCATCGGCCTCAGCGTTCTCGAACCTCAATATCTACTTGAGGAATAAAGAGTGGAAGTTCGGCAGAATCTCTCTGACCTTGGCTAGGTATGCTGCCCTGGTCTGATCGCGAGCCTCGTAAGAACCATTAACCTGGTTGACCACCAACTGTGAATCGTTGCATACAATGAGGTGTTTGGCTCCCATCTCCTTCGCTAGGTTGAACTTGACGATTAGTGTCTCGTACTCCACCTCGTTGTTCGACACTTCAAATCCGAATTGGAGGGCATACTCCAGCTTCACCTCGCTTGGCCCGTACAATATCAGTCTGGCACCGCTTCCTTGCAGATTCGACAAGCCATCTATTGGAGGGCTCAGTTAATTCATGGGTTGGCGTGCTGAAATGCATTATGCGATGAAATCCACCAAGACTTGGGCTTTGATCGCTGGGTGGGGCTCAAATTGGATGTCGTATTCGCTCAGTTCGATGGACCACTTTATTAATCTTCCAAACACCTCAGGCTTGAGCAAAATCTGCATCAGAGGCCTGTTGGTGAGCACGACGATAGTGTGGGCCTGGAAGTACGGGCGTAGTTTCCAGGCTACTATGACTAGCGCGTACTCTAGCTTCTCGATCTCGGGGTACCTAGTTTCGGCATCTTGCAAAACTTTGCTAACATAGTAGACGAGTCATTGGACCCAATCTACTTCTCTGATCAATACTGAGCTGACTACCTCGTCACTCGCGGCAAGGTACAGCTTTAACTCATCTCCTACTTCAGGTCAGGTTAGAACCGGTGCAGTACATAGGTACCTTTTCAGCTCGTCAAACGCGAGCTAGCATTCCTTGGTCCATTCGAAGTACTTGTTCATTTTTATTGCCTTGAAGAAAGGCAAGCATCGACCCACTGATTTAGACACGAATCGGCCTAGGGTGGCTACCCAACCAATCAGCCTTTGGACTTCCTTTATTTTCTGGGGTGGTCTCATATCTAAAATAGCTTTAATTTTTTTCGGGTTGGTTTTGATGCCATGTCGGTTTACTATATAACCTAGGAATTTGCCCGACGTGACCCCGAAGATGCACTTGTTCGGGTTCTATTTCATATTATATTTTCTTAAAATTTGAAAAACATCATTTAAATCATTTAATAAAGAGTTCGAAAATTGGGTCTTCACAACCATGTCATCAACATAAAACTCCACTTTATTGCCGATCAACGACTCAAAAACTTTATTTACAAGTTGTCGGAACGTTGCCCCAACATTTTTCAAACCAAAAGGCATAACTTTATAACAGTACAACCCGAGTTCAGTTACAAATGCGGTCTTGTCCTAGTCAGTCGGGTCCATCCCAATCTGGTTGTAGCCGGAGTAGGCGTCCAGAAAACTCAACAACTCAAGCCCCGAGGTCACGTTTACTAGGCGGTCAATTTTGGGAATGGGAAGCAATCTTAGAGGAAGGCTCTGTTCAGGTCGGTATAGTCGACGCACATGCGCCCCTTTCCATTGGCCTTCTTCACCAGCACCGGGTTGACAACCTAGCTCGGGTAATGGACTTCCCTAATGAAGTCCGCGGTGAGGAGCTTTCCAACCTCCTCATCGACTACCGTCCACCTCTCCGGGGCGAGGTTGTGTTTTCTTTGTTTTACTGACTGGACTAGAGGGTCCACATTAAGTTTGTGAGTTATTATTTTATGGTTGACTCCGGGCATCTCCACCACGGACCAAGCAAAGATATCTAGATTTTTGAGTAAGAAACTTACAAGTTGAGTTCGGAGCGGTTCATTGATCAAGGCACCAATCTGAAGAGTTTTGGTCGGCTCAGTCTCAGAAACCGATATGTGGACCATTTCTTCTGTCGGGGTAGCTCACTCCTCTGTATGCTCTACTGGTTGTTTGAGCTCGACATCCTCCACCAGCTTTGCCTTTCCTTTCAAGGCGGCCACGTAGCATTTACAGGATTTGAGCCAGTCACCTCATACGACCCCCACATGATAATCAGTTGGTAACTTCATTGCTAAGTAATAGGTGAACAGTATCGCACATAGAACGTGTGCGAAGGTCGGCCTATGATCGCGTTGTAGGGGGATGGAGTCGTAACCACCAGAAAAGTGTGCTCAAATCGCACAACATTCGGCCACATGCCTGCCTCCACTGGTACTGTGACCCGGCCAAGGGGCCTGACCTCTTCTCCACTAAACCCTACCAATGGTGCGTTTGTTGACTTCAGGTCGCTCCATTGTAACTGTAGCTTATCGAATGCCTCCTTGAAGAGGATATCTGCCAAGCTGCCCAAGTCCACTAGAATCCGCTTCACTTCGAAGTCGTTGATTCTTAGTTTCATGACTAAGGCATCATCATGTGGATACTAAATCCCGTGCGCATTGTCTTCAGTGAAGTAGATAGGTTCTTCGAGCCGAGGTCACTTTGGTGGGTTTTCGCCTTCGTTCTCTAATTCATGGACTGATGTCCTTGCTGCCGATGTGCACTCCGCAATGATGGACCCGACAGTGATCATATTGATCACACCGCAAAATGGTCTCTCCTCTGGTAACTACCAAGGTTGCTGCTCGTTCTGCCTGCTAGTGTCAGGGGTGTTCCTTCTCTGGTCTCCCTGACGATTTCCCTATCGGTCTCCCTGCCCTCTCTCTTCCCGCAAGATGTAATTCTTCAAGTACCCGCGACGGAAGAGTTCCTCGATCTCATCGCAGAGATTCCTACAGTTCTCCATGTTATGACCATGATTCCGATGGAAGTGGCAGTAGACGTTCGGGTTTCTTGTGCTTGGGTCTCCCCTTAGCCTAGGTGGCCATCTAACAGTGGAGGAGTCCTTGATAGCCATTAGGATCTCTCCTCTCTTTGCGTTAAGGGGGGTGTAGTTAGTTCGCTCAACTAGAGGGGTCCTAGAACGCTGACCTGACTTGTAGCCATGCGAGGGGGAGTTACTTCTCGAACGTGGGGATTTACTTCTTTTTCTGCTTGGGGACTTACTTTTCTTTCTTTTTTGTTTGCCGTTGCTTGTCCCTTCATCTTCTTTCTTCCTCTTTTCACCCGGCGGATTGTCAATCTTCTGGTTGATTTCTTCTTTGGTGCCGATGAACTGATCAGCCAACTGAAGGAACTCGGTGATGTTCTTTGGTTTGTTTGCTACCATGCACCACTTGAACTCTCTATGGGTAATCGCCTTCTTCATTGTAGTGAGGCACACCGCTGGATCGAGGTCTGGTATCTGTAAGCACATCTCATTGAAACACTTGATGTTGCTTCTAATAGACTCTCCCTCCTTTTGCACCATGTTCAGAAGGCTCTCCTGTGACTTCGAGCATTTCTTACTAGTGATGAAGTGCACCGTGAACAAGTCAGCAAACTGAGCCCAGCTCTTAATGGAGCCCGGTGTGAGGTTCCTATACCAGGTCCGAACTATTCCTCTGAATGTGGTGGAAAAGGCCACGCACATGTAGGCTTCGTCATCTATGGCGAGGTACACCTGAAACTGGAAGGCATCCACGTGGTCATTAGGGTCGAACGACCCATCATACTTGTCTAACGTGGAGACCTTGAAGTCCTTTGGCATCAAGGCCGCTAGGAGCTCAGGTAACAGGGTAGATGACTAGCTCAGCAAAGCAGGCATTGTTTTCGTTGCCACCGAGCTTACCGCTTCTCTTTCTTTGGTCTGCTCCACTAGCTGGCTGGGCTTTGCTGGTGGACTGTTTCTGGTCGAAGAGCGACAAGTCTTGCGACGCCTCCACTATTACTTCTTTGCAGGTTCAACATTGGTGCTGCTAGCCTCAGTTTGGTCTGGTATCTCGACCCTGGCTCTCTCGTGCTCCCGAGCACTATCGTGAGGTGGATCGGGGTTCCTTTTCACTGACTCCTCCTGGGTGTGAAGCCTGCGTTGGTCATGGTATGGCACGAAGGGGGCTTTCCTCGAGTTTGCGCCTCGGGCTCCGACCTGATGATCTTCTTTCTGTGACATGTTGTTCTCAGGCCACAAATGCTGCAGTTGGTTGCTTCTATCGGGTTGGCCAACCTTGAGCTTGTATCCTAGGTTCCCCCCTGAGAGATTGGGGGAGTGTGCTACCCGTCCGTCCTACCCCATTGTGAAGTCTGACTATTGGGAGGTATTGGTACTTGCGGTGTCCCCTCACCCCGATGAGGAGATCAACAAACATCCTGGGCAGGTCTGTGAGGGCTTCGATTCTACCCTTGATGCTGAGTGGCCTATCGAGACAGAACCGGTTGCTGCCTCGGATGCAATGGTGGAAACTGTTGCTGATACTGCTGGTAGAGGAAGTATTGCTGGAACTGCTGGACATGTTGCATCTGGATCTGCATCGTCCGGATGCATTGAACCAAGTTGTTGAACTGGGAGTGCCTGATCCCAAGGGAAATAAGGGAGGGCTCTGAGAAGGTGGTGCCCACTTGGGGGAGCAGGATGCTCACTTGTGGGATGGTTTGTGGTACATACAATGATGGGACCCCCGAAATTGCGAGGGGAATGGTAAACTGATCGATACACACCTTGGGACCTTTAGGGAGAGTTGATTGCTGATCTTGCCCCCGGTGACGTTCATGTCGATACCTTTCACGGTGTTGCTGGAAGAGTCCATTGAGCGTAAGGTAAAGGTTGGAATGACCTTTCAATCGTTTACCATAGATGGTGCCAAATGATGGAGCACAATTTGGATGCTCCTTGCTGGAGGATGATCTGGAACTTGACTGCGTGGCGAGCTGGTTCGGTCTGCAAAACAGTAAAGCTCAGAGAACCCGGGGAGATCACTCCGATGCTTAAGTTAGTATTGCAAGCTAAAAGTTGAATGATAAGTTTAGTAGTGAAACAATAATTATGCGTACCTGGGCCCTGGAGGGGTTGTTGCCTTTATATAGCTGAGCTACCATGGACCTCACAAAAATGGTTCCGGGGTCTTCGGCCTGAGTGGATGAGATCCATTTCCACTTTAGTTGGGGAGTAGTGTGTCAGTTAATGAAGTCAATCATCTCTGCCCAATCCGGACGGGGAGAGTATAAGGCCAACCGTTACACGGTGTGATCCCGTGAGGTTTGGAGTCTGCTATGAATCTGGGGTCGATTATGCGTTTACTTCGGTTCTTGGGCCCCGAATTGGATTTGGTACAGAGGTGCCTCTATGCCGAGGTGTCTTTATGTCGAGATGGCTTTGTGCTGAGGTGACCGAACATTCGAGCTCTAAATACTGCTAACTAGGCTCTTTTCGCTGAATTGTCATCCTTCGGGCAGATCGCGTCCACGTGACCTTTACTTACTAGGTCGTGCCAAATCACCCTTCATCAATTAATCTAGTTATGTTATTTAAAATATTTAGTTATTTAAATACTTAAATAATATGTAAAATATTTACATTTATAAATATTAATTATTTATTGAATTTAATTATTCATCAAATCATAATTTATACTATTATTACATAATTTCATTATTAATTCTGTAATATATTAAATTATTATTAATTTTAACATTTTAAATAATTAATAATTATTCATATCTTATATATTACTTTTAATAAATTTTTTTATAATACAAAAATAAAAATAATTAATTTCAGTTACGTTTATTCATCAAACTGATGAAATCAACCAATCCGATCAACTCGACCCGAGTAGATCAGTTTTCTAGTATTTTAGGTCAGCTTTGGTTAAAAAATTTCCCAATTCGACCAAGTTGGATCAGTTTTAGTTTGGCCATTTGTAAACCGACCAAAATTGAATGACCTAACCATGGATATATATATTAATATTTTATATTTTAAGTATAATTTTTAATATGGAAAAGTGGGAAATTTCTCATATTTCTTAGTCTAAAATATTTTATATCATCAATCTAAGTTTTAAATTTATTTTTTAATAATTGCATTATAATTTTTAATATTAAATTTAATTTTGATGTTTAAATATTTTGAACTGACTAAGCAAACAAAAAAATCGACCCAAACCGATACAACTTGAGTGGGTCAGTTTTCACAAAAGGTCAGTCGGTTTTAGCTGACCAACTCCCCAACCTAACCAAGTCAATTTGGTTGGCCAAATAGCCTATGACCGAACCAAACCAACTCATGAACAATCATAATTTCAGCTAAATTAATAGTCTCATCTTTGATAAATAGTAATAGTTTAATCTCTAATAATTATTAAAAATTTATAACAAAAATACACAATTATGGAAAATATATTGATAATGAAAAAATATAATAATTACAAAAATACAATAAGTGCTAAAAATATAGTAACTTAGTCATTAAATAGTATAATATCAAAATTCACCAGGTGTTTAGATTGGTGAAAGCCTTTCCAATATCAAGTCTTTCTGGCATCATGAGAAGATGAGAAGAAGAGGAAGATGAGGTGGTGGTAGACTCTTCCCTCAAATTCCTCTCTCTCTCTCTCTCTCCATACACACCACCCGGTGGTTCAACTGTCTAGGTCAGTGGCTTGTTGATTGATTCAATGATTTTTGGGGAAAATCAGGGCTAGATGAGAGCTAGGTAGGTGACTAGTTCTTGGGCAAATGGTTTAACTGCCTGGGTTAATGATGATTTTAAAACCACAGTAACATCTTCTTCTCTTCTTAGAAAAGTAAGTTCATTAAGAATAAAACTAAACAGCCAAGCTTCAAATCTTCACCCACCATTCGATTTACACTCAATAAAAACGTAGCTGCGCAGTGGTAGATTGTTATATAAAAAAGAAAACAATACCTAATCTAGGGTTGTAACAGAGAAAAGCTTGGTTGTTTAACCAAAAAAAGTTACAGTTATGATACCAAAAAGACATTATACTAAAAAAACCTGTAACCAATCAACCGGTATCATAAAAGTGGTAATCAATCATGTGGTATTTTTTAAAACTTGCATAGAGGTGTGGCTGTCAATATGGGTTTTGTCCAGACATAACCAGAACTGACTCGCAACAAATACTAAGGACTCAGAATCAAACCAGACCCAATAGGGTCTAATTTTAGACTTAAAACCGAACTGATCAATTCTCGGGACAATCAGGTCTGACCCAATGGACCTGGTTATAATAAATCTACTAAAAATATTATATATAGTATTAATTTATTTAATATATTATACATTTAATATATATATATATATATATATATGGGAGAATGACGGTTCATTCATAGGCACAAAGTATAGTTGGGGTAGGTGCCAGCTTGGAATTGATGCCAATTCACGGGCAGGCATTGATGCATAAAGTGGGGGTAATTTACCTTTTGAAATGTTATAGATCTGCAGTGGAAATCAAAATTCTGCAATGAGCCTATAAATATGTATGTATATGTATCAGATTGGGTCTAAATCAATTTGGGGCTGAATGGAACCGAGTTTAAACTAATAAGAATCAAGACAATATATCAAAAACCAGAACCGATCCAATTGATTCGGGCCTATTGGATCCAACCCGACCCATTGACAGCCCTTTGATTGGTAAAAAGCCCTTACAACAGCATAGATTTATCCTTGATAAAAACAGTGTCGTTGAAGCTTTTTCCACATGACAGGTTACTTTTGTCTTTCTAGTTAAAACAATTTTGATTGCAATTAATCTTTTACCCGACACCCATGCTAATATGTCAATCTATCATACATGTGAAATTTCAAAACCAAATGGTCAAACTTATCACCTAGCTGTATTTGATTTTGTCTATACTACCATTCCATACTACTATTAATTAAAAGTGGGAATGAGGTCATAATAAAAATCTATGCTTTACGAGGCTTTGAAACAAAAGTGGGTCTAAATTCTCGACATTTTCTTAACTAAAATACCACTAATTTTCATTTTGATTCCTCTTTGGTGTGTGGGTAAAAAGTGTAATGGTCTATTATTGGTTCGTAGTTAGAATTAGAATCAAAATTAAGGGTGGAAAATTTCTCCATCCCTACTAGGTACCCGGTTTCCCAAACCCATAAGGTTGGGGATGGAAGATTGCCTTGGTAGGGATGGGGCGGGGATGAGGAGTGAATTTCAAGCCCTACCTCGACTTCGATTCTTTATGATATTATTTAGATTATATATAACAAAATATATTTAAAATATTTTTATATTTAAAAAATCCCTTATTTTAAGTAAGTAAATCTATTTTCTAAAAAATCTTTCAATTTAAAATTTTTGGGGATTCGAATTCTTGATGGGGAACCCATCTCCATTAAGAATTGGGGATGGAGTGTCATTTTTATCCGTGATAGGGATCAGGTTGGGGATGGGTATTTATTACAAACTAGGGTTAGAATCGGAATGGTTTATTCCCCCACCCATTTGGTTTAAACAAGAAATGATATCAAAATTGGAATTGGCTTGAATGGATTCCCATTCCCAAGGGAGGGGGAGGGAATTATCATTCCCTCAAATGGTGGAATGTCATTCCACCAGGAACGGGAATCAAATTCCGATTCTACACAACCAAATGTTTGTATAGGGGTACAAATGCATCAAATCATCATCCCATCCAATCCAAAGTCCGATCCTATTTTTCAGATTTGGATATCCCCATTTTGGATCTTTGGATAGAATAATAGGATCCGATCAAAAATTGGATCAAATTCGGAGCACCCCCTATCCGATCAAAGAGAATCCAATCCGATATTCACACACACACACACACACACAYACAYACATACATACATACATACATACATACATACATACATACATACATACATACATACATACATACATACATACATATATATGTTATTTATTTATGTATAAATATATTATTTATATTGAAATTTTCTAAATTCGTTATATTATTTATTTTTTTATAAAAAACATGTATATATATGATGAAAATAGTTGAAAAGATACTTGTAATTTTTGTTTTTCTTTATTTAAATTGTTATATTTTATTTTTCTTTTAATAATTTATTATTTTTTTTATAAAATTAATTAGATCAAAGCATATTTGAATATCTAACTTCCTCATTGAGTTCGAATTCAAATTCAAATCAATGTTTGTGCAATCCGATCAGATCTATTGTTCATAGTATCAAAACGGATTTGGATATACCCTGATTCAAATCCAATCCGATCCGTTTGCATTCCTATATTTGGAATCATAATGCACCATTTTAATTCCGACTCCAAGCCCCTATTCCTATAAGCCAAATGAACCCTAAGTTTTTTGCTAGTACTTTTAAGTTTATTTTGTTCTCTCTCATTAAATTCTACATTTAAAGTATCAACTTTCATTCTCTTTTATTAAATCCTATATATAAGATATATTAAATAAATGAGCATTATCTACTAAAACACCTTTACTTTTGAAGTAGACCTCTCTCTGAGGCTAGAAGTATAATGTTAAAATTGTGTTTGGTAAGTAAATTCAATAAATGCCTTATTACTGTTTGAAACCCGATATGAACCACTTTTTTTTGGGGGCAGCTGTTCAACCATTCAATGGGTCAATCTGTGAAGTTATAATAATAATAATAATAATAATAATAATACAATTGAATGGGTCAGAAGGGTAAATGGTTCATTCTCCTTCCAAATTGTTTGAAAGTGCATGTGCGCAAATTCCAACATTGATTAAATTCACAAAATGCCCACAATACCCTCCAAGCATAATATAATAAAGCAAAGTTTTTTTTGACTTTTAACTCCTCATAAGTTATTTTAACACACATGAACTGTCATTTTTTCTACATTTTTAAAATGACTAAAATATTCCTCTACAATTTAAAAAAAAATGATTTTTACCCATTATTGTTATCTATAGGTGTATAAGTAAAACCTCGTTATCCACATGAAGACATTTGTTGATGAGATTTGCCAAAACAGAGTCTAAGTTATACTTAAGAATAGGTTGGGTGGAATTGCACATTTGTACCAGACACAGAAATTGCGAATAGAAAGCAGATCTCGAGGTGGGTGGTGAGGCCTTGTGAATAACCATAATGGAGCCAAGAGAGTCATATTCCAAAAGGACCAAAACCAAGTAACGAAGAATTCACTTTGGCTCATATGATTGTATCAGTGTTCTCCACATAAAAGCTAAGGGTGCTCCACGTGACATTGAGAAAGAAACTTGACAGCAAACAAGAAACAGAGTTGGTCCAATTTAACCCTGGATGTCTGCTCTAATCTTGTCGGGGATTCCATTTCTTGCTCAGAGTTAAAAAAAAAAAAAGTCTCCTCCCTTAATCTGATGTGACCACCCTTCATATGGGATCATCTAATTGCTTATTCGTATGAGATTGAGCCAAAGTGAACTGGTACCAGCTCCATATTAATAGAATTTTATCCCCAAGGTTCAATTACTCTGTTCGTGACACTTTGTCCACCTCAATAAGGAGGGTTTACTCCAGGATTTTTACTGGGTAATCGGTTTGAAGTGAAGCAGATCTAGATTCAACCCAATTAAATAAACAGATACCTTAAGATCCATATCCGGCTAATTGCATTATTTCATATAGAACTGATACATGATGGCTGGCTTTAGGTGTTTCAACCCTATAAAATGCAACACGTGGCAAGTCATTGGGGGTCCCACTTGGGCCAAAATCTTAATGCATTCTTTAATGAAGCAAGCGGTGTAAGTGATGGTCTCGTGGAGCGGAGCAGTGAAGCCCTCCCTCCCATTGTCCCACTATCCCAGCCAGTAATCAACTAACTCAATCCAAAACAAAAACCATTTCTACGACACACAATAAACAAATGACTGGAATGAGCTGGGATTCCATATCTCATTCAGCAAGCCAACAACAACCTGTCAAGATTCTTCTTCATGAATCATGGTCCACCTGTCTTAACATTACTAAGTGGGTCAGCCAGTTGACAATTCTCTTACCGTTGGGTCATCTAACCTAGCTCCATCTCAACATCTCTTATATCACGAGAGGACCAAGTTCTGCCTAAGCTTGCAGATGCTATACACCTTATCAGAGAGTAGAAGGGAAATACACCATCTCTGGTAGCTAGGCTAGTAGCTCTATCAGAATTCAGAACCAGAAGAGGTCAAGAGGTGGGTGAATGAATAAACCTAGGAAACTGACAAAAAACAGTAGAGCCACTTTGGCCAAAAATAGTACTTGGAGTCTCTGTCTACCCGTTTGCTTGTGAACCCACAGGAAATTGCAACTCAATGGACTCTCTCTCTCTCTCTCCCTCTCCCTGACAATATTTCCTATACTTTGTTGAACCTTGCCAGCACCTTCCAGTATTGGACGCTAGTGAACATGACTCCAAATGATAAGTGTTGCGGTTGGTTCACGCTGATGATCCGATAAGTTAACATTGGCCAAGCAAATTAATTAGCTAGCACTCTGTTTTCTCTGAGAGGGTCTCTTGCCATTAATTTTGAAGGATCACATCCAATTAAAGCTGGATGGGGTTGTCACAGGAGACCTGCTCATTGGATGTGTTCTGCCATTAATTCACACCTAATTAATTAATATTCAATTTCAACCATCGTCATCTGCTGACACTTAAGACCTAAGCATTGCCCCATGCATGTTAGCATATAGCAAGACCACCACACCAATTAGGAGAATTGGGGTACCTCCCCACAAGGCCACAAATACAGTGGGAGTCATCATCTCTCGCTCTCAACCCTGTGAACCATTCATACCAGACAAATTTTTTATTGCAACTCTTCAGACATCCTTGTCTCATTTCACGCCCTAGCCATGTGCTCCCTCACACAACAGACAATAATACTCCCTCCTCTTACCCTTTTCTCTCCAACTAAATAAACTAACCACAGACTTAATTTATTCCGTATTTTTTCAGAGTTAATGTCCACCAGCAGTATCTTTAATTTGACCTTCAATAATCATAGATTACACTGTTCTAAGGCAAAGGAGAAAAAGAAGAAAATTTTTTTTAACTCAGGAATTAAAGCTGAACCAAAAATTCACAAATCAAGCAACTATCATGCGATACATATAATTCAGTCGGTATATAGTAAACAAAATTACATTCAAGAGTTCCAGATTCCAGTCAATATACTACGAAATCTGTTTGTGGTCAACTTCCTAACAATTCTTTTGGCATCCGTAATTTCAGCTTCCGCAAGCTTTTCTAAATTTTTCAGGTAGCCAGAATTCAGGATCTTCCTTCTTCCACTGTTGCAACTGGTTAATGACATTAAAGCAGAGAGCATGAGCTTGTTCTTACCTGATTTTACCTCCCCCAGGTCGAGCAATTGCAGAATCCGGACAATGCCATCGTCTTCCTGGATGAATCTCTTCCGGTTCCTTGGGACCGAAATCAAACAATTGAGTGCTTCGGCCGCCATTTCTCTAACTTCAAAAGATTTTGCATCAAGTAGTCTCACCAACTCTCGCATAAAACCCGCATCTCCCATTGCCTTCTTAGTCTCTTCTGATTTCCCACAGAGACGAAGTGCCAACTTCACTGTCAATTCCTGAATCGAGACCTCACTGTTTCGGAGAAAGTAAAGAAGACGATCAAGAAACCCATATCCAATCAGGACGTTCAGAGAACTCGCGGAGGCGAAACAGAGACTCTCGATTGTTTTAAGCGCAGTTTCTCGAGCCTTGGAGGAAGAGGAAGATCTAGGATCCAAGTTACGAACCAGCAAGTGGATTCCTCCATCTCTGATGACCATCTGTCGAATAGGTTCATCATCAGAAGCCATAATTTGAAGGAATTCGATAGCATTTATCTGCGAGGCTTCGTCTTTCGATCTTATAAGCTTGACGAAGGCCGAGATTGCGCCTTCTTCAACCATGAACCTTTTGATCTCCTCCACTCCAGCTAGATTTTTTAGAACCCCACAAGCGGGAACAATAGACACACCTCCTCTGCCATCACAAGAGGTGCAGAACTTCAACAGAGCTGTTACTCCACCGTGAGCAGAAACTGACCAAGCATTATCAGAATTCTCTGTTAGTTTCTGCATAGCCCTTGCTGCTCTTTCTTTCGCCAAATCACTTCCACTCTCCAGAACCCGAATTAGAGGTGCAATGACCCCGGCCCCAACAACAACACCCTTGTACGTGTCAAACCCTGCTATCACCGAAATGGCTCTGGCCGATTCTTCTTGAATCTCCCTCTCTGCAAACTCAAGAAAGTTCACCAAGAGATTTATTACCTCACCTGTCTCAACAACAATCCTCACATATTTTTCGTCTTCCGCGACAACTTCATTTAAAGCCATCAAGGCCTGGCTTTTCATCCCTGAGTCTCCGATCTTCAGCCTTGTCAGCAAATCCCTGACATAGAATTTCATGTCATCGCGATTAGCTCCAATACCTGGCTTTGACACAACAAGTGCATTACCGTGAAGAATTCCGCAAGTGTAGATTGCTGTAAGATTCTTGCTATGAAGATCGAATTTTGCAGACAATACATCCAGGTCGCTCTGCATAAGTAGCTTCCCGCTATAGGACAAGTTGACACACCGGCGAGCAATATCATAGCAGTCATTAACGGTCGATTCTATACTGGGAATCAAGTCCAAGATGGATGAATTTTCCCCCAAGTTGCAGTTCTCTGCAGCGATAAGACCAGAGTTCAGGTCCTCTAGCTTGTTGCGAATCGACTGCCATTTTACTGTAAACACTTTGATGGTATGAGTAAAAGATATCAACGATAATATAAGCTGTATCAATCGCCTGAGGAGGGATTCTCCGGTTCCCACGTCTGACGAGTTTCGCTTGTCTGTTTCTTTATCTTCCTTCTGCTGTCCCATATCTGTGCTCATTGCTTTGGAGGCAAACGCATCTTTTGCTGAATTAGGTCACATAACTCCGGCGGAGTAGTCCAAACGATGTCTCCGACTCTCCGGCAAGTAGTTAGAAGTGTGAAAGACCTGAAAGAAATAAAACTGGATGATATCAGACGGAGAAGGCATCTATAGAATGTCTCTCTTTTTATCCTGTGAATGCACATGAAGCTGAATTGGAATTTACTGGTCATTTACCACATTGACCCTTACTCTGGGCTGGGGGGGGGGGACCAGATAACCGTTGATGGTCAATGGACTGGTGTTGGGGCCGTTTGGGTAATTGGCAAAATCAATGGTTATTTTGGGGCGTTAAAAAGGGAAAGAATTTTTATTTAGGAATTAGGAAGGTGTCGTGGGTTGGTGAGAAGGAAAGGGTTCATGATGAGGGACAAAATATGGTGGAGTTTTATCACTTCTGATGATTTTATATGAATGTGTAAATAAATAATAACAATAGCCTTTTGGCTTGATTAGCTTTATAAATTTTTAATATGGATAATTATTTTTAATAAGTATGAATTAAGTAACCTGAGGCTGTGAATTTTTTTGGTAGTGTTGCTTGCTATCGTAAATACCATGCCACATGTTAATTAGGATGTTTACTACAACCACTATTTATTTATTTGACATGTAATAAGATAAATTTAGTATGTATTGTTTTGGTAATAACTTCTTAATAAAAAATTTACTAAATTAGGTTCTATGGAATGACAAGTCACAGAATTGATCTTATTTTATTATTCAATTAATAAAATAATACTTAGACTCGTTACGGAAGGAGTACAAATACAAATATAAATACATAGAGTGTAAAACCTTGTATCTTATATTATTTTGTATGTATTTATACCGTGTATATTTGTATTTTTATTCTTTTCAAATTTAGTTTGGAAGGAATACAAATATGTATAGTGCAAATACATACAAAATACAATGTGTTTTGGACTGTACATATTTGTATTTATATTCTTTCCAAAGGCTCAGTTTGGAAGGAGTACAAATATAAATATATACAGTACAAATTCATACAAAATAGTATAAAATAAAAGGTTTTGCAATCTACATATTTGTATTTGTATTCATTCCAAATGGAGCCTTAGATGCAAAATATGTACAGTATAAATACAAAATGTAAGGTTTTACACTCTACATAATTGTATTTGTACTCCTTCCAAACTGAGCTTTAGGCTCCATTTGTTTGCAATACAAATGTCGAAGCGGGGTATTTATGTATTGCGGTTCGCGTTTGCGAGTATTTGTTTGACATGTAAAAAAGTAATGATTATCAGATAAAAATTGTATTTTTTTTTGACATTTTTGTATTCTGAAAAGAGAGCATTACTATACCTATTTGTTGGATACAATTTTGTATTCTTTTGATAATGAACTTTTTAACCAAAATTAAGACATTAGAGTATAAGATAGTTGGAGCATTTAATGATGGGACCCACACTTAGCACCGATTTAAAACAAACAACAAGAATGCAAAAGCGATCTGAATCATGTTTGCACCCATGAACAAAAAAGAGAATAAATATGCAATTTACATATTTACAATTGCAAGCAAATACAGCCTTAAATGCAAAATGTGGGGATTCATTTGCCAGGTGCCTTCAGCTTGGGATTATCTTTACAAAATGTGGGGCTAATTGTATCTTGATAAACAAGAGAGGAAAAAGAAGGGAAGATGAAAAATGAAAAGAAAAGACATGTACTTTTTCTTTTCTATTCTTCATGAAGAGTAAGCACAGAAAAAGGCTCCCAAAGGCTAAAGCCACCACCCATGCAAAGACAAAATCTTAAGAAAGAAACCTAGAAGACACTTTTTGTTACAGGGATATATAAATGTATATAAATTCCTCAGCGTTCAGCAATGCAGCAGATACATACAACCCATAGCATGATTAGGTGGCCAATTCCTGAAAATGGATGTGGGTTGTGTCCCTTATACCATGGATCATTATTTTATATAACCCACTTGCAGTGATTACACTCTGTAACAAAGATCAAAAGCTGACCTGATTTAAATTTTTTATTAAGTGGGGTTGGAGGCATTTATTTTTTTTCCTCTTTTCGTCATTGTTTATCCTAATGATAAGCGTGTTTGGCTAGAGACTATGTCAGCAAATGTTTATTGCACCCAGCAGAGATGGTCTAATTTTGGATTGATCATAGAGCTGGAACAATATTAATTAGTCTTTTTCTTTTCTTTTCTTTAATTACGCCAATGGGAATGGAACACTCAATCATCAATGTAAAACAATACAAAGAATCATGATGAGTTGTTCTACAATAAAACCTAGAGGTTGACAGTTGACACCAAGTCCTAGCACGGATTAAGGAAGACCCCTATTTTTTTAGCTTACACATGAGCTATCTAGTTACAATTTATGGGCCACATATTTGAACGTAATGCATGAGAAATTTGAATCAAAAATTAAAAAAAAAAAAAAGAAATTAGGTATCAGGCTTCTGCACTGAGCGGTCCACTTGGGCACTTAACAATCTGTATTCTGTAGCATGGTTTTCAAAACCGGACCGGACTGGAAAAACCGGGAAGTGGCCAGGTGACTGGTTCCATTTTTCTTCAAAATTAGATTTTTGCCAAAAACTGTTGATTTTGGTCAGCAAACTGTTGACCCGGGTGTTTAATCATTCGAACGGTTTTGACTGTTTTTAATTTTTTTGTCAGAATGGGCCAATCGTTCGGTTCGAACTGTCAGACCATTCAACCCGGGAATCGGACCCCAGACAGGTTTGTTCTCCGGGTCAGTTTTAAAAACCTCCTCATTCTGTAGTGAGCAAGAGTACCCTATTATTAACAATCTGTAGGAGACAAGAACCCAACTTAATTAGTGAAGTGCATCCTGTCATTGATTTGAAATGGAGTTTATCTTTAGGGAAATTGTTTAAAACTCACCATGAGTTCTCAACGTTTCTCTTAAACTCACCTAACTTTTTAAAATGTCTAAAATTCATCATGTCAGTAAGTTTTTTATTTTCCAAAACTCGCATTCCGTAATGCACCGTTAATGCTTCTTAAAAAGGTGTCCATGTCAGCATAATTAACAATTTTTATGACCAAATTACCCTTGAATGGTGAGTTAGAGGAAAAATGGTCTGTTTCAATTTTTAATTTTCTTGTTTTTCTGTTTTTCTAGTGTTTTGTTATAATTTCCAATGTTTTTTATAATTTCTGTTTTTTTACATTTTCTATTTTCTATAAACTATAAATTTTCCTGTAATTTTGTTATTTATTTGCAATTTCTGTGTTTTTCTATAATTGTTGGTGTTTTTCTACAATTTTTATTTTCTGATTTTGTTTTTCAATTTCTATAGTTTCTATAATTTGAAAATAATTTTTTATTTTGTTTGCAATTTTTATATATTTTTTTGTAATTTCTATGTTTTTATGTATTTTATATTTGAAAATATTTTTTTAAACTTTTTCCTTTTTTCATGTCTAAATATTAAAATGGTAATATATTAGCACCCGTTAATTTATTTTGTATATATTTTATTTTTTTCTATGAAAGTTAAAATGGTAATATATTAACAGCTGTTAGTCTGTTTAACGTCAAATTAGTGACATGCATGGTGAGTTTTAGACATTTTGAAAAGTTATGATGAGTTTAAGAAAAATGCTGAAGACTCATGATGAGTTTTAGACAACTTCCCTTATCTTTATGTCATTCATGGTTCTTCAATAATTGGTTCCCATTGGTAATGGGTCCTCAGGGTCCTAAATCATGTCCCTTCAGTAAGACTTAACCTTTATCGCTGATCTTGTGATAAGTTGTAAATTTAAGAAAAATTTAGTGTTAGGTAAACAAACAGGTGAGTCAATAATGATGAAGAGAGTGATTGTTGAAGAAATAATTGAGTAGGAAAGAAGTGTAAGGTAGAAGAACAGATACATAGTACCTTAGGTTTGAAGAGAACGGGTACAATAACAATATTTCCATTTCGTCTACTCAAATGAAAGAGAAGTCATAAGACAACTCAAACTGATACATCGGAAAAGCTTGCTTCAAGGGAGGACACGGCATAATTTCTATCTTCTAGGGGAGAGGAGGGTGGGGAAATGGACTTTGTTATCTATTAAAATGCACCACTAAGATGGGAATTACTCCATTTGATTAGTCTGTCAAAACTCAAGAGGACTACATTTTTGATGTATTGATCATATGGGTCCTCCAAAGTTTTATTTATCAAGAGGACTATACACAACACACACTCACAACTCAGTAAAAACAATTAACCATTCAAACAATTAATCAAATTGTTATTTGTTACAAATATTGTTTCATTTTATCAGATATCATATATCGATCCATTGAAGCTCTTCCCTTGCTTACTGCTGTGTAAACCCATAACAGTGTCTGAATAAATTAATAGCATCTCATCAATCTTGTATAAGGACTAAGTTGAAGCTAAACTCAAAGCATCTACAAACACTTTTTTTCCAATTAATGAATCAAATATTTTATTTCTTTATCCATGAGATTACACTCAAGTAGTTAATCACCAAGCTATGCTAATTAGACTACTGATCGAATCGAATTTGTTCGTGACTCATGATGCAATATCAAGTCATGACTGGCAACTTTAATACATATAATATGTCAAGATGGACTTTAGTACCCTAAATGAGTCGATGATTGGTATTATTTTAGACCCATTATATCTTAGTGATTTATTATTAAAACTTCACCCAAGATTCTAATCTCCATGGGCTATGGGCCTAGGGCTTCCCTACAAGTACTAACCTACTACCTCTCTTCAAAGAAAGATGGATGATGTATCAGATGGTTGTGGCATCACAGAATTCGTTAGGCCAGGCAGGCATCAATTCCAGATTAAACTGTTAACCCATCAAGACTAGAAGCTTCAAACCAATTATTTTATGTCTATCCACACTAATGGGTTGAACCGGATTCGACCATAGGTCCAACCCGAATTTTCCTACCGCATCAAATGGGTCAAGAACGAGGTCACATTGGAGATTTGACATGTTCAAGCTAAGAAAGCAACACTCACACTGAAAAGTATACTTGTGAATCAGCAAAATGTTTCTCCATACTTCACATCATAGAGGACCTATCGTGAAGAGCCTGTGAGGGTGCAGCGTT